GGCCTCTCTCTCTGAGACCTCTCTCTCAAAGTGTTCAGAAAATCCTCTCAAAACCCTCTTTATTCGTGTGTTGCATAACCCTAAAAACGTTTAAGGATTATATATATACCTAGCTTAAAATAGATTCCAACCCAAACCAGGAAAGCCCATATACCGCTATCAGTCGACTGGTGCACATGCATCAGTCGACTAGCTAGAACACGGTTTTTTACAGGGTCGCTCGTGCACGTCTATCGGTCGACTGGTGGCACATAACCAGTCAACTGATGAGCTCCTATCAGTCGACTGATGATCTCCATTAGTTGACTGTCCAAAACGTGGTTTTCTGTTTTGTTTCCTACAGTCACGTCGGTCGACTAATCCAGAGTCTTCGGTCGACTGATGCTGGGATTTTCAGCTGCTTGTTGATTTCATCTTCAGGTTACGGTCAGCACACATCCAAAACCAACAGTCACGTGATTTATTATTTGTGAGTTATAAACATATTGATCTAGTATAACATCTCTGTTTATTGGTATCTTGAAGTCTTCAAAAGATGTGTGATCATTCAATTCTTAAAGGAATTTTGCATATGAATTTACTTGCAATATGTCCATTAAACTTTTAGTTGTGGTTTGACTCATATTCACATTAACTTTTAGTTGTAGTTTCACTCATATTTACATTATCTAATATTCTTATTCAATTTTATAGTTCATTCTCCGTATTATAGAAGTAAAATTAAAAGTATGAATACTTATTTTCTTGTGAAATTAGAGTAGGGAGGTTGTGATATATTTCACCATGTGCTCTAAACATAAAATTTTCTTTTTTCCTTTGATGCAAGGCCCCTATTAAATCTTACCCCAAACAATGTGAATAAAAAATGCTATTATAACTCACTTGCCTAGGGTAATTGTATTGTATATATGTTATATAATTCATCTGGAATATCCTCATCTACTAAGTGAATTTTACTGTTGTGAGAGCAAAATGTTAGAGGCTCGTACTCATACTTTTTGTCTCTATAAAAGACACAAAAATTTAGAGTGCATAACTTATATATCGTAAAGAACATACTGGCTCATGAAGAATTTTTCCTAATAACGATATTATTACAATGATATTACTATTCAGTATTAATTCAATTTTATTATATAAGATTATATTATCATTTTTAATAAATTATAAAAAAATATATGGAAACCTCGATGCTTATGACTAGTAGTTGGGCTACACAAAATATGTTAACTTTTATATTATAGTTTGCTATTGGTAGTACTGTTGGTAATGTTATCATCTTTTCTCTTTATCTTATTATTCATGCTTTTCTGATGTAAGTTCTCTTTTACTAATCACTCAATTGACTATATTTAGTTTTTATAATATTAGAGGTTAGAATATTCTCTTCTATTTAAAAAGTGTTGACATGATTTTTTTTAAAATATACACATAGTAGCAATAGTATGTACTTTAGTTCAATTCAAATATTGGCTTGAAGCCATTTAGAGTGAGGTCCTTTCTATGATAGAATGGTGATATAGTGAATACACAATTCAAAAATCAAAGAAGAAATTTCTAAAAAGGAAAAGTAATTTAATATGTCAAATTAACAACTAATTTATAAAATATATATGGACAATGCAGATAGCTATAGAAAGAAAGATATACATCTTTAAGAAAATTTCATGGCGAGTGACCAACTACAATCATCCTAATTTAAGCGTAAGTAATTATTATTTTAAATACTAATTGGATACGTGTAACTATGGAATAAATCTCAAGCAAAACATATGAATTAAGATTGTATTATCTTATAGGTAAATAAAAAAACATTATTAGAGCTTCTTTTTATATTAAATTTAAAATAATAATTTAAATTATTAAAAATGATTAAACACCATATATTAGTTCATATGAGAAAGTAAAGTAACCTATAGTTTATATACCTATATAGTCAATCAATCGAATGCATTAAAATTATGATGACCATAGTCAAAATTATATGGTGGGTTCATATTAAGTATAATTTATAAAAATTAATACATTAAAGTTAAAATCCTTTAACCATTATATAGATTGTCTAAAAAATATTACATATATAAATTATACTGCTCAGGAATAGTGATGTGGACACTTGACTACGGCCTAATACATCTTAAGAACGACTTACTCTTCAATATCATTATTAATTGACGTATCTATGCATTACACTGAAAACACAATAAAAATTTAAAGAACTACAAAAGAAACACCCTTAAAAGGTTTAAAAATTGTAAATAAAAACATCCTAAATTTTTGTTATTTATAAATACACAAAACTATTAAACATTACATTAAAATCAATGAATTATAAAAAATAATTAAAAAATTACAAACTTTGGAGGGATAATTTGCAATGTACAAAACTTTAAGGGTGTTTTTTTGTAAATTTTAAATTTAATAGATTTTTAATTAGTTATGTTCTTTTCAAAAAAGTTATGGGTAATATCGACCATGAAGAGTTTTTCCTAAACCTATATTTTTAAAGAAAGTATAATATTTTTTTATAAATTTTTAATTTTTAGGGGTCGTTAGTAATTTGTATATTCAGTTTAGTGTCTATGGGTTAGAAATTCTCATGGTATTTTTTTTATAAATTATGAATTCTAGGGGTTTTTAATAATTTTTTGAACTTATAGATGTTTTCTATAGATTGTAAATTATTTATAGACTATTTATAATTTCTATGTTTTTAATTTACTATTAAGTATAAAATTCTCAGGGTGTTTTTTATAAAATTTAAAATTTGAGTGTTTATTTATAATTTTTGAAACTCTAAGAGTGTTTTCTATAAATTATAAATTATGTGGGGGATATTTGTAATTCATATATTTTTAATATACTGTTAGGTTGGAATTTATCAGCATTTTTATAAATTTTACGATTTTGAGGATATTATTTCACAATTTATAAAAAGTTCAGAATATTTATTGTAAATTTCATAAAATTTTGGGGGTTGTTTGTATTATTTGTAGGTTTTTAGTGTATTTATATGTTTAAAATTTTCAAAGTGTTTTTTTACAAATTTTGATTTTTAGGGGTGTTTTTGCAATTTTCAAAACTTACAAAATATTTTCTCTTTGGTAAAAAAAACTTTTAATTTCTAGCTAGCATATGTTTTTTAGATTTCTCACTGAATTGAAATAAATAAAATTTACTATTTTAAATATATTTTAATAAAATTTTAAATTTGTAGGGTTGTTACAATTTAAAAAACTTGGAGGTTATTTTTTACAAAGTCCAAAAACTTTTAGGCGCTGGCTAGCATATGTTTTTTAGATTTCTCTGTGAACTGAAATAAGTAAATGATTTAAATTATATCAAACTATCTCTTTTATCTAATAACATGTTAAGTCTCATTATGAATAGGATAAATCATTTAATTACCAATTCAAAGAACATATGATAATTAGAATATTTTATAATAACAATATAATATTAAAAAAATATTGACCTTTGGAAAGATTTTCCCGAATTTGTACTTTTAAAGAGAGTATAATATATATATATATATATATATATATATATATATATATATATATACAAAAAAACATTATGTCAACTTAGAGTGGACGTCTACTAAGTTTTCTTAGTCATTGATGATTCGTTTGATTGAGCTACATTGTGGATGATCCGCTCTCGTAAACTTGATCTATTATTCTAAAATCCTAACACACCAAAATTTGGGGTGAACCTGTCGTGGTTTGACCCTTCATCCCACTCGTATGTCAATTTTAAGCGGTTTTGAATGAATAGAACTTTTTACATGGCTCGACGGTAAGGACAAAACACACGGGTTTCACCCAATTTGGTGTGTTGCGGATTTTAGAAATATGTAGATCAAGTTTAATGGAGCGGATTCATCCACAATGTAGCTAAATCAAGTTAATCATTAATGACTAAAACTTAGTGGACGTTTACTTAAGTTGACATAAGTTTCTTCTCTCTCTATCTCTATCTATCTATCTATATATATAATTATATATATATATATATATATATATATATATATATATATATATATATATATATATATATATATATATATATATATATATATATATAGAGAGAGAGAGCAGATGAGAGAGAGGAGAGAGAGAGAGAGCAAAACTTGTGTCAACTTAAGTGGATAGTAAAAAGTTATCCACCAAACTTTTTAGCCACTCATATAGAGTAAGACTCCTATCAACTTTAAGTTGATGTCACCAAACTTCCTAGCCACTCAACGAAAGTGGTTATCAATTTAATGCATCATTGACATCAATTTTGATTACATCTCCTATTATCTAAATCATGCCATCAAATTTTTATTTTATAGTTAACAATTTTTATATTTAAAAATATATAAAAAATAAATATAACATAAAAATATATAAATTATATACCTCTAAATTATTATAAATATCCTACAACAGTTTATTAAAAAATCTCAATTCATAAAATTATTCTTGATTATATTCCTGTAATATATTTCCTAAAAGTTATCACACTCCCCCTGCCCCATCTACCCCAAAAGAAATATCAAATGTTAACGATTATTCCAATTATAATGAAAGTATCTAAATTTGCAGTTAAAGAACTATGTGGATATTTTCTTACTCATCACAGCTCCACGATTAGATTGGGCGGGCGGGGAGGGTGGGATTATAAAATAAGCGTGCCACGCAAGCAAGTGAAAGAATAGAACACGTGAGGCTCAGACGCACCCGGCTACACCCCACACTGGCCCCACCGAATCAATAAAGCGGGACCCTTTCAAAACAAAGTGGCATCTTCGTAAATTCCGCCAAAATGCTCCCTCTCGATCCCTCCAAAGTTTCCGGCGCTTCATTCCTCTTTTAATTTTCTCCGCCTCTCTCTCTCTGCCATACTCCTCCCTTTCTCTTTCTACTTCTTGATCTCTCCTTCTCTCTCTACAACTTCTCTCTCTCTCTCTCTAATGGCGGGGGGGGGGGCGAGCGGC